ACGTCTAAGCTCTCCAACGTCTGCGCAGTGCGAACACATCTTTTTGACTCTTTTTTCTTGAAACCACGTGCGGTCCTGTATCTGCCAACAAATTGGACAAATCGCTTGACTTGGCACGTGTTTGAGTGAACATTCATTCGTGAGAGGGATCTTAAGCTCTGTCATGTCATGCTACTAATAAGGCAAAGCCAAGCGACCCTGTTGATCCACTATGGCATTCTGATGATTTTGATTGTGGACACTGGAACAGAAATGACGGCAAGCCACGTAAACAAGAACCGCCAATGAAACAAGTTTGCAAATTGCATTGGTGAACATCTCAATGACAGAGTTGGCTTTCTTCCACCAGTACATTTCTGCCTTGTGGTCCAGCTCCTTTTTGTCCATCTCCTCTTTCTTTTTCTGTTCCCTTAGGAAGTTCATGTATGCCTGCTTCTGTGCCCTCTGAAACTCGATGAAGGTTTGGCGCATTGCGGTCAAAACCTTTAAGCCAGCCAGGCCAACTGCTGCTTGGGCTATTCGTATTATCATTGTTTGTCGCTTCTTTGCCTCCAGCTCTTGCTTAGCCTCCCACTCTTTCTGCTTGGCCGTTGCCGCTCGCTCCGCGGCCTCTGCCGCTAACATCTGTTCCCTCGCGGCCTGTCGCATTCGGTACGCGGCCGCCGACATTTCCGCAGCCGCTTCGCGCTGCCTTCGACAAACTGACGACTCAGTCCCTGGATTGTAGTAGAGAGTCAGATTCTGATTCCCTCTGTCTGCAACGCCTGCCACGAAGGCTAGGACGACGAGGGCCACCAAAGCCAGCATAGCCATCAATCGCCGGCAACGGGAAGGCATGGCGAAAGCACGTGTGAAGGCCGGGAAACTTCTGGCTGGAGAGCTAATCTTTCTACAACACGTTGGCAATCAATTGAGAATCCCGTTTGGCCTTTCTCTGCAACACATGCTGGGGACCGTCTGTGCGTAGTTAAGACAGTGTCAAATAACCTTCTCAAGCAGAAATCAGGGGAGCCATTTCAAATTGAACATCAAGTGTCAGATTGAGTCCGCACTTTTAGGGAAGCAAGCGAAGCACTTCTGGCTAATGAACCCGGCCAGAAGGACCACTCAATTGATAATTCAAGGCTCTATTGCAGGCTTCGTCTTGAACCGGGTGCCTCAGGTCGTGTAAACCGTAAACCCCTTGAACTCCACTCAAAGTCAGGCTCCCTATCTGGACCCTAGAGAGATTTGACCTGTAAAATGTGGTTCAAACTGCATCTTCAAAACTGCATCTTCAACTTCAATCCCACCAAACCATTCACTTCCAAACTCTAAGACATCACCTCTAAGCGGCTTTGGGCGGTTTTTGGGGATGGACATGATGGACCCTCAGCTCCGCCCAGCTCCTCCCCTGGGCTCGTCCAGCCAATCATCGGTAGCGGTCACCTCTGCCCAAATCGGTGTCGGTGAGGGAAGGCCGAGGTGTTTCATTTCAAACATCTTGTTATATATCTTTTGATGTCAAAAAAGGTGAAGAAACAAGTTTGTTGAATAAACATGTAATGTCAAACATGTTCGCGATCATTGCCTAGGTGGGGATGAGCATCTTGGTATCTTAGATGTCAAATTGAGATCCGTTGTTGCGAGTAGCTGATTGAACTGGCCGGGGTAGGAGGGTTTCTTTCATAGTGATGTTGGTGATCGCTTGTTGGCTGTTTGTCGCTGTTGTCCCGCGATCATCGCTGTCCTCAACACAGAAACAAAAAGGAACCCTGGAGTGGGAGAGCAGGGAATGAGTTTCTTGCCCTCACCGAAGTAACCCCACCCAGGATCGACTTCATTCCCGGTCCGGCTGTGGGTCAAAACCTCTTGACCTGCCCATGACGTCGATGTGGTCGATTCTGAAAATTTTTCTGTGGTCAACCAGTCGGTCCCCCGCTTTGGACCCATCGCCATAACTCAAAGTGGTTCTGGTTCCATAGGACATAGTCATTGAGTCTTCGCATCAGGTGGAGGGGTGCTTATCTTCGCTTCCTTCAGGAGCCTATTTACTATAAAGACCTCCAAATGGAAGTGTCCCGACACACCGTGAACCCACGCGGTCGATCAACCGTGAAGGAAAGCGGGCTTCACCTTCGCCGCGTCTCCCGCGTCTCTCCCGGTCCGACGTCCGGTCCGTCGACGTCCGGTCCAGTCCGCCGGGTCCGTCGGGGCCGCGCCTGGTTCCTGGGCCGATTCTTGCGGAGCTTGTAGGTGTGCTTGCCTTGAGTTCGGTCATGTTTCAACGGCGGACGGCGGAGGACACAAACGGCGGTCTGAAGAAAAAAAAGTGGAAGGAGTTGTTGACCAAAAAAAAAGGAAAGAAAGGTGAAGAACTGGGTTGACATGATGTGCGGTTGATATGGTTTTGACACTGATGCGGTTTCTTCAACCCCCTGCCCACCTCAGTTTACCAAGCACAAGTCCTTACACTTGGCCACTTTCGTGGGATAAAAGAGTCATTAGTGCAGAAAGACATCCGCATGAACTCTGGAATCTCCGATAGAAACTCCTTTCACCTCCAAAAAGACCAACAACATCCAACATATGTTCTTTTGCCATCTGTGAATCCCATCCCTCCCACGCCCGCCAAGCGCGCTTGTCCAGCAAACCACCATCCCTGTCCATCCAAAGCCACGATAAAGAAAGGTCCGCTTGCGCACGCTGATGGCGTAGCCCTTGGGCGATGGAGTCGCATCTGACGCCTCGCGAGATCGACACCGCGCCAAAGAGGTCTGCGGAGCGACTCACAAATAGATCTGATTCCTTGCGCTGGAGTAGGATCTCACCAGGAGTAGAACATTCGCAGGTTAAAATTCATTCAACATGTCAGATTTCTGACCACAATCGCTTGAAGAGAACCCAATTCCACCTGAGTTTGCCCAGTTGTTGGGAGCTTGGATCGCATACTTCATGTAAAGTTAACTTCAGATCTTGTTTAGGAATTAATAAACACACCAGGCTTGCGAGTCACGTCAACATCTCTGCGGTGTCGACACGAATGAAATCTTTAGAATCTTCAGCGGTTCCAACCGGGATCCAAATGCGTGGATTGAGAGTAGATGGCACAGACCCCAAGAGGTGGTTTATATGAACCCCCCATGTAAAGGACATCTTGAGGTCTGTGCCATCTACTCTGAATCCGCGCATTTGGATACCAGTGACATATCCTCAAAACTCCTCAAGACTCCAAAAGAACCACCCGCTGCACTAGCAGATGCAGGATATTTATGATGCCTTCGATGTCTGGTCTTGAGTTCATTTTTTGGGTACTCCCAACCCCTGTGCATCAACAAATCATACGCAATCCAACAAGTCATTCAAACCTGTACGTTTGCAACAACCCTGAAAGCCTGGCTCTCAAACTGCCTTAGCCTTTACCAAATCTTCAAGCTTTGCAGAAGGTCAGGAACCATCGCTGCTCGCTCATGGCACCAGCAGCTCTGGTAGCAGCTAGGATTATTTGAGTGAGCCCAACTTCCACATCATTGAAAGTTCTTGCCAGAACATTTTGTTCCCACCCCTCCACTCAACCAAACCCAGAGGCCCACCCCAGGTCGCCCCCAACCCAGGTCGCCTGAGGGCTCTCTGAGGCTGGAAGTTGCAATGCCTTCGCACGCAGACCAAGCAGCATCCCGGCTGGATGATGTTCTGTTCAGATCAATGAATGATCGCCTTGATCAACGAAAAACTGTTCAAACTGGTGTTTGACCGCGCTTGACACATCTCCCACCCTCCACTCCACTCCCTTTTAAGGAACTGGATGTACTTGATTCCTCTGCACCCCCGAAAAGCAAGCAGCTTCACCACACACCGTCAACATCCTTCACCTCGTCTTCTTTCCATTTTCCACCCCCAGTGCCGCGGGTCACCGCCTGGAAGGCCTCCAGCCACCGTTGGAGCTGCGCCTCTGTCGCCGCGTCGAAGTGCACCTGAAACGCGCGGAGAGGCGAAGGCCGTCGAACTCGGGTGGCTGGTTGGATTGGTCGGGTCGGAAGAACTCGGGTGTGAGTGCTTCATGAGAAAAAAAGAAACTGCGCAAATGCTGCATTTGTAGTTGTAATTGTTTGTCTTGCGATGGTGGTTAGGTGGAGTGCACAATTTGTATCACGTCATGCACACTGCATAATGGGATCTGTTCCAGAATGTGCAGCAGTTCATTCGATTGCTACAGCCAACCGTGCGGATGTGCGCTGCTGCGCCAATTGAGGGACCAGTGGCGATTCAGGTGAGACGTAGTGTGTTTTTTCTTCGAAATACCGCATATCATTGATTTCGTTGATGATGTTGCTTCTAGGACCTGCTGAACACCTGCCACGTCCGAAAGCTGTTCTTCAAGTAAACCTCAGTCTCTGTTTAGTTTCAGCTGCAGCTCTCAAACAAAGACTGCTGTGCAGGGGATACGTCAGCATGGGCTTAGAACTTACACATCCACTCCCAGGCTTAGCCTCCAGTCTCCCAGTCCCATCCTGTGGCGCTTCACCCCGGTTTTCGTACTGCCCAAGTGGCAAAGCGCTGGTGAGCGTGTGGCACATCGGTCCCCAGGTCCAACCTGACCGGCGATCCAGGTGGAGAGTGGGTGCAGGAGAGGGCGACGAGAAGTCGCCACCAAGTCGCAGCAGGTTGGAGAAGGCCAGAACGACTTGGCCTTCGATCTTGGTTTTCGTGTGTCTGTTCGTGTATTATTTGATTTGTATACTTATTTGTATATATATACATACCACAGCGGTCACGGCTTCGTTCAGTCACGGTTAAGGGCATCCGCACTCGCCATGCCAATGCCCAGCCCCGTCAAAATCTGTACAGGCAATGTCCCTGACCACAGTCCGCTTCCGGACGCTCTGGCTGCCAACCTTCACTGGCATTATCAGCCTGATCAAAGCAACTGCTTTGGCTGCGTGCCTTGCACACGATGTGCTACTTTCCCCAGTCTTATATCTTACTGTATATATATATATATATTATATATATATATCATATACCTAGAGCCTGAACACCATATTGTTGGATAGTTGATCCTCCAAAATAGAGGTCACTCAGGCTCCAGGTAGCTATAAGGTGCTATAAGCACCATGTTTTGAGGAAGCCAAGTCGAAAAACTCCGATCCTGTGGAGCCCTTCTTCTGGGGCAAAATGGAAGAATGCGTGCACGGTGTTTGGAGTACGTGCGAAACACTTCAGGTGCAAAGATACTGAATTGTGTGGTTTAGACTGTTTAGGGTTTAGGCTGTTTAGGACAATCCTTTTTGACATTCAGCCCAGCGACCCATGCGACCCCTGAAATATAGAGACCCATCAATCAAGTCTAGACTTCACACACTCCCCGCAAAGTTTGGGATTTATTGCAAGCCGTTTGATGGTTTTTGAATGTTTTTGAGTTCATCTGCTGTGTACAGCATTGCTTTTTGATTCTCGGGGCCGTGATATGTCAAGACTGGATAGTCAGTTGGATTGAGAATTTGACAAAGCTGACTCTAAACAACAGGCTGAGGAAAGGTTGTGCTGACTTCAAGCTCGAAATGAATGACTGACTGGTCATTCCATGTCATTCCCACTGTGCCTGGTTCTTCACCCATCAAAACATAAGCGCCTCGAACAACACATTGTCTGGTCACCACCTTGCACCAGCTTGGGTGCAAAAACATCACCCGCCGATCTTTCGATGTTGCACACCCTAGAAAGGTTGAACAGCCATATCCCACATAATTAGTACCACTGTAGGGTCCTAACATGTCCGATCCCAGATCTCTCAACCTCGGTGTCCGCCACTCCGCCTGACCCCCGACCCGGTCCGTTCGACTGGGCTCTTGAAGCTCAAGCCACACGAAGCCGCAGGGCCGTGTCTTCCGATGGAGCTGCGCATCTCCAAAGGCATCTTCTTCCCTCGCGTCGAGGGAACTGGTCAACTCGTGTCTGCACGCAGGAGCGCAGGGGGGACCGGCACCCACGTTTGGGGTGAGGCGGAGTGGTCGCTGGTGGCAAGGCCAATTCAGCACAAAACCCCAAAACGTCGGTCACCCCATGGCGGAGGATTTCTGAGCGCCAAAAACCCCGCAGAATCCCGGGATCCCCGCTGTGTCACCGCACTTCACCCGCTGAAATCCGAAATCCGATCCTGATCATGAACCCACTGGGCTGGCAATCGAAAGGTGAATCACCAGGATGAATCATCAATCCCAGACACTCCATGCAGTGGGTGCTTTTAGGGCTCAATTGATCGGCATTTATGGCAGTCCCAGACAGCTCGTGTCTGGGAATGCCGATCCCGCGGGCAGAGGTCGCCGCGCTGGATGCAGCAGCTCGGAATGGCTTCGACGGGTCGACCGGCGCGGCGCGGCGATGGGGGTTCGTACCGCCTGAAGGCCGCCCACTTCAGCACTCGGAGCTCCAGCTTGGGCACGGAGCACTCACGCTCCGCCTCGTAGCACCTCGGAATGGGGCGGAAGAGGCGCGGAAGAGGGGAAGACGGTGGGGGGCGGAAGGGGACCGAGCTGGCTGGTGGGAAGGAGGCCGCACCGGAAACCACAGGCAGCTGTGCTACTGGGCCATTGGGGGGGTACAGTATCCATCATGGTGCACTGAGCCATGTGACATGCGCAACCTACAGGTGTCATCAGGTGTCCATCTTGATGTCCGTCTTCGTTATCAGGCACTTTGAGATCCGTCTAGACTACCCAAAAACCTTATGCTGTGTCAGGTGGTGCAGGATAAATTATTAAAGACAATGACCTCTTAAGACCATCACACGAAAAAGGGGGCACGAACTATGCTGGTGCGCTGCTGACTATGACTGGCTGGGTCTGGTGGGTTGCCGGCACCAAACGACCCTGGGACGCCTTCCAACCCCGGTGCGCCAATCAATCGCTTGTAGCATCATCAGAACAGAGCTTCAAACTTTCAAGGTGATGCAACATCTCGCCCGTCAGGAGCCAAGATACATTGATTATCATTGATTCATTGACCTTCTAGAATCACCGCCGGAGTTTCCAGCAAATGCGGGGCGAACAACACTCTATCTAGGATGCAATGCATTCACGAGGTGTGCCCATCTCTTCCAATATCTCAGCAAAACTATGCCTTTGGTCACGGTACAACCCAGGTTGGTCACATATTCTTCAATGGACTTCAACTCCAACTCAACCATCACCGCTGCTCGCCAGGCCACGCTAAGGAGCTCTGCCTCAGGACGCACCAGTGGGGCTCCCAGGTGTCTCGTAGCACTGGCAGCCGCTTCCTTGCCGGGAACACCGGCAGGTTCCCGAGTCTCTCATGGAAGGACCCTGCTCATCGTTCCGTCTATACAACTTGATGCTTTCCAACGGCGTGAAAGTGCTGGGAGTGCAGCTGGGGAACTCTAACCAACCACTCAAGAGCACCTCTTCCTCCATGGCATTGTGCAAGAGTCCACAAGGCGCAAGAAGAGGAGGCGTGAAGCGTTGAAAAGGTGTCGACGTGGAAGGATGGCTAAGGATGGCAACAGTAACAGCGGGTGAACAATGCTACAAGCCACTGAGGAGAAACATCAAATCAGTAGCAATTGTGTTCATGTTGCTTTGGATTGTCTTGCTTCTTTTGCTCTGAACAATCATGCTCTTCCAACGCACCATAAACTTGTACGAGGTGTTTCTGGGATGCAGTCAATCATCCGTGACCTTGGACTCCATCTTAACATGCTCCCCCGGCCATGGCCCGGCCAAACCACCGTGGCCTAAGAAAAAGAAACGACCGATGCATCTGAATGTCAATGGGGGGGGGTGATTAAGATCAACTCACAGCAAGCCAAAGAGGCAGCGGCCAGCACATAGCAGGTTTCAGATGTGAATGGACAAGCTGTCCAGCCCCAAGGTGTTTCTGGTGCAAACAGCAAGAATCAAGGGTGCTCAGTCATGTTTCCACAGGGCCCACTAACTGATCAAGTTGCTTTGGGACAGTCAATGTCGGGCACAAAAGTCGACAAGGCACCACCAGGTCGACTATCCGAAGAAAGGGAAGCTAAATGAGCTTTTCGTGCAACATATACATATATATATATTATAATATATATATATATATGCCAGAATCATCCTATGGGTGTCCAATAGACTACCCTACTTATAGGTCTCCAGACAGGGCACCCATTGGAAGTGCTAGGTATATATATATATATCAGCATAGTATCCGAAAATGTCTCTAATCTTGTCTGTCCCAGGTCGTGCTCCTCAAGCAATTGTACTAATTGTACCAAATCACGTCCAGATCCGTGCAGAGCGAATCTCTCCGCCCGGCAGCACCCCTGCTTGATCCAGTCCTGCTCTTCAAAGAACCAAAACACGACGTTTCTCCTGCATCGGAACAAGAAACTGTCTCATCGATCAAGGTTCCGGCCCAAACCAGCTGACCTTTCTCCGAAATAGCACTTGGAAGTGACCTGCCCATTGTACTTTTCACCCTTAAAAAGTCCAATCGCACTGATAAGGTCATTGAACTCATCAAACATCGTTTTGATTCCAAATTGGCCAATCCATATGACGGCCATTTCTGCCTACCTCCTGGATCCCTTCGTCGCCGACCCGACCGGTCCCTCAAGCTCCCAGACCGCGGATGGCGCGGTCCCATCCGCGCGTGGACGGGATCGTGCGGCACGTGAAGGTGCCGGGGCGTAGACGCAGGAAGTTCAGACCATCCACCTGCGGGAGCGGAGGTTTCGAAGTACAGCTTCAGCTTAGCTCTCTCCCATTTTGCTGATCACACGACTATTCCGAAACTGGGGAACTCTTCCGTGGCTCAAGTTGCCACGGCTTGAAGTGTCTATACAGGTACCTAAAGGTCTATAGAGCGTCCTGGAAAGAAGCTCTTCAGTCTCAGGAGGGATCTATTCTTTGGGCGCTGTTCGCCAGGGGCGTTTGGGGTGGCGGTGGGCGGTGCCGGAGCTGTGGCCGAGTATCATGAATCTAGGTGTCATTCGGATCCTTGAGAAAAGAAAGACATCTTCAAAGGCTGCGAGATGCCAAAAAAACAGGTCAAAAACAAGGAACAAAACCTGGATGGTGTAAAAGAACGTCATCAGGGGTTCCCAGGGATGCAAACGATGCCCAACCGGCTGCTCCTTGCTGGAGGCGTTCCGTGACAGGTGATGGAATCTGATATTTTTGAGCAAAACGAAGTCCAAAACACAAAAATGCACTTTTCCACAGAGCCCAAACCTCATCCTTCTCCCCCACACAGACCGGAAAAACCTCAATGACCTGATGCGCAACTTCGATTCGTTTAGACCCCCGGGAGCCTCCGCGCGCCAGGCTAAGGCCACCAGGATGGCCTTGGTTGGGACTAGACACGTGTTGGAACATCTGTTTTGATTGAAAGAAGCAACCATGGGGCAACTATCGCTTTGGTTGAAAGATTTCTTGAAATGATGTCCCTTTTGTCTCCAAACTATACTGTACTCTGCTAATTAGGTAACCAAAGGAGTTGACACTGAAAGAAACATATGATTTGATGGAAGACCATGCTGTTTGGATGGTGTCCTTCTTTGGGGACAGTGGTAGGTCCTCCCAAGTAACACTTCCAACTCGATGTCGGCCCAGAAACTGCGGGTGGATCAATTCTCCCTCATGTCAGAGTCCCAATCCCAGACTGTCCAATCCGATCTCCCAGATATTTCTTGTTACCTTCGCAGCGATGGCCTCCAACCTACGTGCGATGGCCTCCACCTATTAGCGTCCTTGCTACTAGACTGTAAGCTTTATATACATTGGGGTGGTTGACTTGGGGTCAATGCGAGCAACTAAATATACAAGTCTGCTTTGGTTGCAAGTCTGAATCAATCTCCCACTCCAGCGGTTGTCCTCGCAACCACTCCTGCAACGAATCCAAACAGTTTCTAACAGGGTCATTCCTAGGTCTTGATAGATCTTGTTGAATCTTGTTGCACAAATCCCCACAAATTGGGGAAGACGAAACAGCAAGGATGCAGTGGGGCAAACAAAATGTTCTTGATTTTCTGCATCACAGTCACCTCCTCCACACAGCTCCGCTCGTCTGGGGCTCCACACGAAAGCCACTGATCGATAAGGCTTCATGGCGACGGCCACAGTCTTCCGCTCGGCCACGCGCGGCCAGCGCAAGCGCTTCAGGTGAACTCGCGAGTTTGGCTGAAAACCGTGTTCTTGTTGATGGTCGAAATATGTCGAAATCGTTTCGCTGGTGAAGCCATCCCGCTGGTCTTGCTGCAAAACAGTAGCAGAAGACTCTGTGGAGCATTCTGTGGAGCAGTTTCCTGTGCTGAGTGAGTGTGACAGCATCGTCGAAGTAGGTTCATGCAACTAGCTCTGCCTGGAGATCTCGTCACATCCTTTTGCAAAGCCAAATCTGTGCGGCCGTGGAAGAGAAACTCATGTGCCATTCTCTATATCTTGGTCATGAGATTGATTTTCCTGGCACTACGACAAGGTCAGGTGTTCAGTGGTGCATAGTGGTGCAAGATGCCCCCCGCTTTCAACAGCTCTCAACTTGCGACCCATCGAATTGCCTTTTGACCCGTGTAAGGCCTACCTCACTTCTCTGTCAGCTCCTTTAGCTCTTCGGGTGCCCCTTTTCTTCGTGCCGTGGTAATCATCGAGCTTCTCAGCACTGGTGCAGAACCATCTGATTTGACAGATGTACTGACTGGTTCCAAGCGCGCGTCATGCGGTTTTTGGCGCGTCATGCGCCGGGACCAAACAAAGCCTCTCTTGGCAGGGTCTTCTGGAGTCATCGAATGACCCCCTCATGCTGTCATCATCTCAGTTTATACATGTTTATACTACAAAAGCTACAAAAGCCAAGCAAATAGTTGACAATCCACCACGGATTTCCTGAAAACGGGGCCCGTTGCCCGTTTTCAGTCTACTTCGGCCTAGGCATCCTCACCTCCTATTTGAGTCTAGCAAAAATACATGGCAGAGCTGGCTGGATGAAAACATCTCATTGTCCTGCAGGCCTACCTTAAACGAAGATATGTGCAGTTGTATACAATTGTGTCAATTGTCAGTGGTTTTGCTTTTCACAGTTACATACCAGGGTCTACTCCATCAATCAACTCCCGAATCAGAAGGCCGCCACCTGCTTGGTCATGTTCACCATGGACTTCTCAACACTGCGTCCGACTTCGGCTCGTCCCGAGTTCAGAGCGTTGCGCCCTCTGCCGGGTCGTGTCAAACGACGTCAGCTGGATGCGGAGGACATGCAAAGCACTCCAATCAGCTGCAAGCCGAAGGCTACACCTCTGGGCGGCGCTTCTTCGGAGTGTGGGGTCCCAGCATGGCTTTCTAGTGTGAGTGAAGCGCGGAGCACTTTCAAGGGGTTGATGAAATAAGCGGCGTTCCAACGAGCATGTGTCTGCTGCTGACTGGTGTTGGTGGTTTTTGCTGGAAGGCATTCAAACATGGAGCTGTGTTCGAATGCATCAAATCGTGAACCCGTCGACGGTAGGCTGTGATGCCCTACTTCGACCGATCCGTCTGGCGTTTTGATATTTTGTCTCAATGCAACCCTTAGGGTTTAGGGTTTAGGTGAGGCGAAGGCGACTCTCTGGGTTGGATCCTGCCACGGACCAGCAAGGCACGGCGAGAGTCATCGAATGTGTTGATGGAGTCGATGGTGCGTGTCTGACCGGCATGTTCATCTTCGAAGTTCGACCCCCCAGCTTCCAAGAATCGACTGGGAGGTTGAGAGACATAAGGAGGTTGAGAGACCTTCTACAGTAGGACCTCTTTTCTTGTGGTACATATATGGGAGAGGGTATATGGCTGTTCAACCTTAGAATCACCTGGCTGTGCGTCGTTCACCCGGGTTGCCCCTTTCACTCACTCTAGTAGGTCCACCATGTCAGGTGTCGTCTATTCGGTTCAGTCTCGGTGGGGGTCCCGGTGTCATGATGACCCAGGCACTGCCGTGCCGTGTCTCACGGCCAGTAGAGTGCCACCCTGCAATGGAAGGAAGTGCAACTGGTCAGTGTGTTGCCGTGGTTTCAGAGGTTCGATGGCACGTTTGCCCCCCCAGTTGGGTGGTTTAGTAGGGGGACCCCCACATAGAACCTCTGAAACCAACTATATCGGGCCCCTAGAAGTGCATCCTGAAGAGCAGTCTTGGGGTGTCTGGTGGAGAAAAAAAAAAGGGGCAGCCCGTCTCCAACCCAGTCACATGCTTGAAGTAAATGGAGACCTATGAAATTAAAAATGTGTGTTTCAATGGCTGATGTCAAACACTTGAAGTACATTGAACCGCGCCCCCAGAAGTCATCAATGGAAGACCCCGTGAGTCATAGGGGTGTACCATACCAGCATTGAGCAACAGCCCGGAGCCCAAAGTGATGTTGAGCACCCGGGCTATACAAGATCAGTTGGTTCCTCTCAGAGATTTCCTCACCAGGCGTCGATTGGGAAAGCTGGCCGCAGAAAAAAAAAAACCGTCGATTTGACCTCCGCACTAGATGCGTAGGGAACAGCAATACACCCAGACACTGCATGGGACTGGAATCTCTTGCATACAATGGGGATAGTTTCAATTGGTGTCAAGGGTCCAGATATGTCCAGATAGGTAAATATACCTGGAGCCTGAGTGACCTCTATTTTGGAGGATGAACTATCCAAAATAGGGTCTTTTCCAAACAAAACAAAGGTCACTCTGGCTAGGTATGCCATACATGGTACAATGTATGCCTGTCCCCTCGGTCCCAAACATGGGACCGACCGGGGTTCCCATCCACTCGGCTCGTCGGCTCGTCTGCAGGGACCGACGGGTCCTTGAAGACGAAAACGGAGAGAAGGCTGGCAATCACGATGGGCCTTGGCTGGATGGTTGTCTTCATGGGAAGAAATCGCAGAAGTAGAGTTGCACTGTTGGAATGACAAAAAGCAACGATAGACGATGTATCTTTCGAGTCAGCCCCTAGCTAAGCTCAAAGGGCTGGGTTTCTCCCCCTCCAGGAGCCATTTGTAGCCTCTTTGATGTCTCCTGTAGCTGATCCCAACGGCAGACACCTGTGGCCATCTGGCCAAAGCATGGGGTGACTCCCTTTTTTCAATAGATTTCAACAGCACAGCAACTCCTGTGCTTCGTGTGTTGTTTCACTCAAATCTTTCAGCCGCTATATAATTGGTCCTTCTGTGGTGGTCATGTTGCGCTGGACCACCACACCAACAGCTACCGGGCATAGAAATCAGATCAAAAGGATCTTCATCCACTTTATCTGGGGAAGATGACCATAGCCGCTAAGCCTCTGCGATGTGTCAGGAGCCATGTTGAGCCCTCCACGGCTCCATCAAATGTTCCCAAAAACCCATCCAACTATGATCCGTGGTCCCCGATCCGTGCTCCCCGAGAAATGTCCTATTTTTCGCTTCGTCAGATGAGGTGACACTTGACCATTCACCCTGAGAGTCCCGTCAGTGTTCCTCCTCCTTTGACCCCGAACTGGTGGATTCTCACTTCGACCGGCGGCGGTCGTTCGGAAGTTCGACCAGTCCGGTGCTTCAACGGTCCGAACTCCGGTGCCTCCCTCCGTGACGGCGACGAACCGTCACGCCCGTTTCCCCGGGCAGCTGAACCGCCTCAGCCTCCGCACCCCACCGCGTCCAGCCTCGGACGAAGTCACGACCGTCACCGCGGAGCGCCGTGGAGTCTTGGAGCCGAGAGCGGCTGAAGCCGACACCCAGATGCCGAGCCATGCCGAGCGCCGAGCAAAGCGCAGTCTTCGTTCTTGGTCTCCATATCTTTCGAAGTCTTCTATGCACGCAGCAATCCGCAGCAACCTTGTTCTTTTTGGTACTGGCTTTCAGCCAAAAAAACCTCTTAGTGAAAAAGGAACAGGAATACTGGTGCTTGGTGCTTTCCACTCCTTGTTCAGATCCCTCATTCCCAGCGTTCATCAGGAAAAAAGGAGCAACATATTGTATTTATTCCTCAAAGATCTTCACAAAAGGACCACATATGGAAGTAGGGCCCTTGAAGAAGAACGGGGCTCGAACATGCAGGCCCATGCCCGACATCGCGGCTGGTAAGATGTCTTAAGAACCCTTTCTGCCACCTACTTACTACCCAAATACTACATGTCAAAAATATTTACCTACATTGACCCTCAAGTCAACCACCCCAATGTCAGTCCCATGTTTCGTGGGCCAACAGTCGCCACTGTCACTCTCCTGCCCTCTCAGTGTGTAACGCCGAGCCCTCCGAGCTCCCAACGTATAGCCAATGGAAAAGCCCAAGGATGAGATGCCGGTGATCATGAAGGTGAAGCCTGAGAACGGCATCCCATGCAGGGAGGCATCCCAAGTTGGTCTCCGATGCAGGAGACGATTCGTCTCCACCTAGCAACTAACATGAACGAGTCTCCAAACTTAACATAAACTCTTGATTAATACACCCCCCCCAATTGAATTGAAACTGCTGTTCAAAGAGGGGGTTAATTAATCAAGAGTCTACATTACCTTGAGGATCTTTGAGGACTGACCATGCACATCTGGCATGGACGATCCACCCACCCATGTGGCAGCCGACGATCAGACCACGGCACCCACGGCCCAGATGCAGCCACTCAAGTAGGCCGGGCGGATGGGTGCATGCGGCACGCGCCAGCCCGAAAGCTTCGCCACCGCCGCGTACCTCGGGGGCCCAAAAACGCGGGCACGAAACCCCGCCCAGTGGGCACTGCCAGGATGTTCTATGTCCGAAAGTCCTCACAGTTTATATATGTGAACCTATAAGGACGTAGTTCATATACAGGTGAGGTGTGTACAGTCGTCCAAAAGGAAAAATCCACCTCAACTGACGACCACGCATTCCTCCTGCCGGGTGAAACGTGTTGGATAAAATCTTGTGGATTCGCCCAGACAAGTCGTGCGGCGCACGAGAACTACAGAAGAAGACCGCTGGTGGCCTTGATGCAAACAAATGGGGTTTGGCTCCTGACAGGGGTTGGTTTTGAAACCTACTATAGGGTTCTCATGTGGATGTTCGACTCTCTCCAACAGAAGCAGTCCCTGATTTTCAGGTACCTTGGAGAAGTGTGACTGATGGGTGCACCATCATAGACACCCATCCGGCTCTTGCCTCCATGAAAACACCTACTGTAGAATGAAGAGCTAAACAGTATTGATCCCTAGGGATCCAGTCGTACCTTCTCAGAAGGTACTTGGACCCTCCAAACCTACATAGCGGTGTCTCCAATCACCTGCTGAGAAGGTACGACTGGATCCCTAGGGGATTGTGGGTACTTCATGGAACTTCATGATGGTTTCAATGGCAGCCTTGCGACAATGGCAGCCCATCCACACACCTGCGGCGCCCGTACCAGGCGCCCCGGCAGCAAGTAAATGGCACCTGAGTGGGAAAAAACAGCGGGATCAGGTGGAACAGCTGGTTGAGTGGCTGACGCCTAAACTCGCCCGCCCTCAAAGTCGATTAGCCCAAACCCAACAAAAGCATATATAGAAACCGTATCCAGATATGATATCTCCAGTTGCGAAGATCTTCTCCATTAGAGTGTCCAAGGAACTGCTGCAAATGTAGATTCCCAGACACTGCGGGAAGACCACATCAGTGGCCGCCTGTCCCTTATGCCTGGCACAGATCGGCCGATGTTCACCGCCATGATTTCTCTCCTTCCGAAATGCTGGTGACATCGCTGGTGACATCGCTGGTCTCTGGGGCCGTCTGAAACCGACGGACGGAGTCGCGCATCACTGACAACTGTCGGACAGGTCCGCCAGGTCGAAAACAGACTGGAGGAAAAGAGAAAAGACGCCGTGGCAGGCATGTTACGGTGTCTTTGTTTCCCAAAGACAGCGGTTTTTGGGTGGTGAGAAAGCAGAAACCGGCAAACTTTGAAGATTTAGGATGATTTAGGTATATTCCAATGTGCGGATGGTCTGGGAGTCTGGGAAGTGATGGATTTGGTGTTCACTTGCAACATCGAAGCTCGGAAGTGTGGCAATGCACTAATCGAAAACACATATATGATGTGTAGCATGCTCGTTGCTTCATTCTTGCCTATTAACATGCCTGAATGGATTTGGATGGTCTGCATGGTCCAAATTCATCCAAGTGTCGGAAACCCCGAACATGGGCTTCGAGAAATCCATGACCCTCCCAACATGTGGCATCGGGCTCTTCACCTCTGGTTGTAGAGAGATGTCGGCACACCTTGGATGTGAAGAAAGCACTTCGACTCGAAGGCCGTCATCAGGCGCGATCGCAACGACGCTGACCTCTTGACTTCGCACACTGGTAGCTCCATGCAAGCACATCATACACTGGCGATGGTGAGGCAGGCGGCGTTTTT